CCTGCCCAAAGTTTGGTACAGTGATGGCTGCAGACTCCAACATCATTCCCTCAAAAACTGACAGTGTCTGGCAGGAAGTCAGTTCCGGTGGCCTGAAGAGCACTGTCTATCAGCCGACTGGACTTCACTGACACCCACAAAACACCCTCCCACTCCACAGGATGTATGTTCTTTTCAAGGGCGTGCAGAACAGATGGTACTGCAATTCTCAAGAAATTTAAAAGCATTCAAGTCATATGAGGCATCTCCTCTGCCCCAGATACAGCTAATCAGAAGTCAACAACAGAAAGATCTCGGGGGATTCCTCAACGAAAGAATGTAATTCTTCATGTCTTTGAGTCTAAAGGAGGAATCAAAGGGAAAATTAGAAAGTTCTTCAAACTAAATGAAAATGAAACCGTGAATCATCAAAATGTGTAGGACTCAGCTAAAACAGCACTTAGGGAGACACTTAAATGCTATGCTAGGGGAGAGGAAAGATCTCTCTCAATTTACCTTAACAAGCTAGAAAATAAGAGTAAACTAAGCCCAAAGTAATCAGAAGAAAATACATAATCAAAATCAGAGTGAATTCCATGAAACAGAAACTCAAAAGTCATAGAGAAAAATCAGCAAAACCAAAAGCTATTTCTTGAGGTCAGCACAATGGCTAACCCTCCGGTCAGACTGATCAGACTGCAGATTCCCACACCAGGAAGGGAAGAGGGGGGGCACCATGACAAATTCTATAAATATTAATGGGTTAGCAAAGGAAGGTTTGAATAATTGTGTGTCAGTAAAATCAATAATTCTCAGAGGAAAACAAAAACTTCCAAAACTACCTCAAAAAAAAAAAAAAAAAGAGAGAGAGAGAGACAACCTGAATAGTACTTCATCTATTGGAGAAATTGAGTTTTAGTTAAACCCAGTCCCACAGGGTTTCACATCACCAAACATTTGAGGGAGAAAAATACCAATCCTATAAGAATTCCTCCAGAAACTTGAGAGGGGCAGGCTGCTTCCCCACTCATTTTGTGTGGGCTGCCTTCCCCCAGGAGCAATACCTCGTCTGGGCTAGATGTTGTAAGAAAAGAAAACTACAGAACAGTATCATTCTGAATAGAGGTGCAAATATTCCCACCACATCAGCAAATGCAGTCCTACAATATATAAAGTTGGCGCTGTGTCACAACCAAGGGCAGGTGTGCCCTAGGAGAATGAGCTACTGATTTGGTTTCTGAACTCCCCGCACTGCATAAGCAGACCTCCTAAAGAACCATCTTGGAGAGGTGCATGCTTGCCCCCAGCCAGTTTTCTCTACCTCCCCAAGGCCAGACCCTCAACCTCCAAGACTCAGTTGGGTATTGTCCCTAGAGGCTGGTGTCACCATCCCAGGGACTGTCTCACTGCAACTCTACTGTCACTGTGCTGGGACCATTTGAGGCTGACACACTGGCTTCTTTTAGCAGCCTCCAGGTGCCAAGGACAGACACCTTGCAAGGCCTGGAGGCCGGACACCCCGGAAGCCCCACATCCAGGCCTCCTTCCCAAAAGTGCTCATCTTATTAAAATCAAAATTAACATTGCCATCATGATTAACTACTGAGTCCAAAGAGAACAGCTGCACTGGAGCAAAAGCACTCCCGTGGCTACAGGTAAGGAGGTTGAGATCATCGTCACAAGGGAAGAGCCTATCTATCTACTTATGTAGGTTTATATGACCAGCTGGCATCAGTAAATAATTAACCCACCAAATCTTTGGCAATTTTGCAACAGTTTGATGCCCTCTGATGTCTGTGTGACCTACTTAAATATCCAAAGAGCAAAGTCTAGGAATTTCCTGTATTGTTGGGTTTATGGGAAAGTGAGATGGCTTTTTTTGCATCCTTGGAAAAACATGTCACTGTGCTCCGTTTGGAAAACACTCTGCGTGATGCCTGGAGGTTCTCTCCTGGGCTGCCTGGTGGGTGTGGCCAGGGGTGTCATCAGCAGAGCATTCCAGGGCAGGGTGAGTCACCGTGTTAAACACCAAAGGGACACCACGGCCAGGAAGAGCCCTTGCCAGCCCAGAGGCGAGAACATGCCTCCCGGGGTCCCAGCTGAAGAGCCAGCAGCCAGGGCCTGGCCTGCTCCGTGAATGAGAGGCAGGGCCAGTGCCCGGTCAGCAAGCTGGAAACTGGGTCTGCACATGCCCCGCGGAGGGCTCCTCCTGGCTTACCCTGAGGCCACTCTTCGCAAGCTCTGAGTAGTGATTCAGAACTGAAAGGCCTTAAACCAGAGGGGCTTACTGATGGCGGGGGGGCCACATCTCAGGGACTGGCCAGCCTGGTCACCCCAGCTAGCCAGCCAGAGTCAGACAGGACAAGTTCCTCAGCACAACCCACCAAGCCATCAAGTGGCTGCTGCCCTCACCTGGCAGGGCTTCGGCAAACTGAGCCACCAGCATCTCTCTGGGAACCACCTGTGCGGGCCTCTCCCTGGCATCTGCCCTGCCATGGGCCCCCCAGGAGACTCTGCCAACAGGCCCCACACCACCTGCCCTGGGTGGCTCAGGCAGAGGGAAGTGCCAGCAGGAGCTTGGGTATGTGGCTGGGTCCCCCAGCATGGCCACTGCAGGCTGGCCGTGTCCCTCGGCCCAAGGGAATCCTGGCTCTAGCCCTCTCTGTCTCATGTTCTGGGGACTGCTCCCCCAGCCCTGAGCTGGCATGGGGACACTGCACCGTGATGCCCTATGCCCACCCACATTTCAGATGTCCACACATCAAGAGCTGTTGGGACCTCACCCAACTGGAGCGTGCCCTCTGCCCTCTGCTCAGACCGTGACATGTGCTGGGAACACTCCCACCTCTGTCTCAGCCTCCTTGCCGATAGCCAGGGGGATTAGGGCTCCTCTGGGCCACTTCCATGGTGTGTTTCTGGTGGCCCGTGACCATGTGGGCGCTCCCCCATGGGTCCTCCCAGCTGCCCCTCAGCTCCATCACCTCGACTGCCAGCCACCTTTCTGACACTGGGGTGGGATCCTTCCATGCTTGCTTGGGGCCACGGGTCAGCCGTACCCACAGAGAGGCCTGGCCTCTGCCTTTAGGGCTCTGACCCCTGACTGCCTCCCACCACACCTCTGCTGATGGTGCCCTTCCCCATGCACCTTGTTCCCTTCCATCAACACCAGCACCTCATACTCCACAGTTGTCTTGAGCATTGTGGATGCTCAGAGGAGACCCCTGGCTGGGCACTTGCAATGAGCTCATAGTTCGGTGGCCAGGCTCTCGTGATAGTGGCAGCCCTGGTCCCTCCAGGGGACCAGCTGGCATCAAGTTCCCACATGCATGTCTGCACCTGAGCCCCACATCTGCCATGGGGATCTGGGTCTGAGTGGTCCAGACAGCCCACCCTGCCCATAGAGAGGGGACCAAGGGCTCAGATCTCAGCAGCCCCTGCCCACCCACCCAGAATCCATAGCCCAGGTGTGGAGTGAAGACCGGTCAGGCCTGGCTTGGGGCTCCCCTGGCTCGCACGGCAAGTTGGAAGATGAAAACAGAGGCAAATCCACAGGACAGAAGGTAGACCAGCAGCTGCTTAGGGTCAAGGGTGGGAGAATTGGGGTGGCTATTAATGGGCACAGGGCTCTTCAGGCCATGTAAATGCTCTAAAGTGATGGTAAAAGTCGCATTAACTCTGAACAGTGAGAACTGCTGGACTGCAGGGCTTCCCCCAGTGAATCACAGCTCAGGAGGTTTACATAAAAAAGAATAAGCAAATGGTGCTTTTCTGCTGGCACATCCATGTGTGTGCATGCATAGCATACAGACACACAAACCCCACTCACTGAACGATTCTCATGGCTCCAAGGTACACCCTGCCCAGGTGTGCTGTCGGGAGCCCACCCAGCCGGCATCTCTTTTCTGGGTTCATTCAATTAAAGGAAACAACAGTTGCACCTGAGTGGCCTTTGCCTTTTGCCTCTTGCTGTGCAGATGGAGCACCTGGAGGGAGCCAGGGCCGGCCTACTGTGTGCCAGGCCTGCAGTGACTGGGTCAGAAGGGACTGCACTTTATCCTGTGATGGAAAATCTCATGTGTCAGTCTGACTGTCCACAGGGCACCTGGATGGCTGGCCAGTGTGGTTTCTGGGTGTGCCTCTGCACAGTCCTGACCCCAGGACTGGGTTGCCAGCTGCAAGCAAGTGCTCCTGGCATGGGGATGCATCCACCTGCCTCAAACACTGTTCTGACCCCAGGTATCCCTGCTCAGCCACCCAATGGCTGCCTGGCCTCAAGCAGTACACCTCCGTGTCCTGTCCCAGCTGCCCTGCTCCTGGGCTGGCAGTCATTGGCCACCATCTACTGCCAGCCTCCACCCACCTGCAGATGAGGAAACCAAGGGGAAGCCACTTCCCCAGGGTCAAAAAGTTTGCAAGTTGTGCAGATGGAGTTTGAACCTGGCATCCTTCGAATCCATCAGAAAGTCAAAGGCCTTGTGGCCCAAAGGCTGGGGACATGGAGCAGAGACACCAACACTGAGGCCTGTGCTGGGCCCAAAGAGGGTCCCGTCACCATGTGACCATACGGTAGGTGCACTGCACAAACCTCTAGGGGCCCCACCTCTCCCTGAGGCCAGGGCTGAGACCAGCACCATGTTCCATGCCCATCAGGCCTCTGTCAGAACTCCCCAGCACACAAGTTAAAAACACCTGCCTTACCTGCAGGCCGACAGGTGGGCTGTGCAAGATTTGGCATTTTCCGTGACCCTGAAGAGACCCTTTGTCACACCCACCCAGTGAAGGCTAAGTCCCTCTGCACCAATGCCCTTGTCTCTGCTGGGATGCCCTTGTCAATGGGCAAAATCACCAACTGACCCTCAGACAGCTTGTCAGACTCCCCAGACCCCAGGCACTGCCTTCCCACGGGCCCCTTCATCCTCTTCTCTGGCACAGGCCTCTTCCACCTGGGCAGTGCCACCTGGACACCCACTCCCAGGGGCTTCATTGCCACACACCCCCCAGGCAGAGAGGGCCCATCTCACCTGTGCTGCCCAGAGGTAGTCCAGCCGCAGCTTGACATCCACCTGCCGGGCGTGCAGGGCCAGCGTGCATGAGAACAGCAGGATGGCCATGATTGGCTCGAAGCTGCGCCTGGACATGGCACCACCCCTGGGATGATGAAGGAGAAACCCCATCAGTGGCAAGAACATGACACCTGCCCAGAGTGCCTCCTGAACAGCTGGCCCAGGCCACGGCCACATCTGACCAGGAAACCTGAGGCCGGGCTGGAATTCAGGCCCAAATGCGGAAATGGAGAAGCCACCAGAGTGACGAGCTTCTGAACAACACACCAGCACACAGGGTGCCAGGCACGGGCCTCCCACCTCCACCGCTCCATTGGGGGAATGTATACCTACCCCATAGCCTGGGTGTACCCGCTGAGCTCCAAGACCAGGATGTAGGATGTGGTGAGCATGCACAGCAGAATCATCTTTGGCAAGGAGGAGACCCGCAAGAATATGGCTAGCGGGAGGGTGCCCACGAGTCCACAGAGCAGGGCATGGGGTGCAGACTCGCAGGGCATGGTGGGTAGTGCCGGACTCCAGCCCCGGGATGTCAGGACCACCAGGGACCCATTGGGACTGGAGCCCCAGGCCCAGGGCAGGCAGCCCACCTGGAGCGGGTAGAAGGTTCCGCTAAGAAAACGTAGCTGGCCCTGTTCCCAGCCCCCTGCAGCCTCCCCTCAGACCCATCCAGCAAGAGCGTAGCAGGCCTCCACCCTCAACCTGCTCACACCCTCAAGGATCCTCCATGGAGAGCCCGGAGCAGGAGCCCAGGATGGGGGCAGGGGCCACAAGCCCCACCATCTTGCTCAAGGCACTCACCCCAGGCTGTTGCTCCCTCCACACCACCCTGTTCCTCCCCTTCCACTCTGCTGCTCCTAACTACCTCCTTCCTAGTCTCCTAGTCCTCCCTCCCATCTTCCGCTGATGCTGCCGCTCATCTCCAGTCTGTTCCTCCCTCCTCTATCCTGTTTCTTGTGTCCCCTGTACACTGTGAAGAGGCCGAGTCTCCCTTTACCAGGAGGGGATAGCAGGTCCTCCGCTGGGTGCAGGCCCCCTCCCAGGCCATCTCTGAGCTCCTGTCCCCCCACACCTCACTGCTTTTGCCATGCATAACCCTTCTGCCAGGCAGAGATGCTCACCACATATCCTTGGGCCACAGAGTAGATTAAGACCACAATGAAAATACACAAGACGGTGCGGATCTGAATGGTCAGGCACCCTGGAAAACACTGAACAATGATACAGCATTTTGAAAATAGCCACTTATTATGAAGTGATTCATGTCCACAGTAAATAATCTGGGTGCAGAAAGTGCACAGCAACTGGAATACGCTAGATTCTTGGCCACTATTCATTCTGCACACAGATTTCCTGGCTGTTTTCTTATATTTAAACTCCCGGGTGAAAAAGTTGACAAAATAAAAGAAAAAAACCTGATGCCTTTTATGAAAAAGAGCACACCTTTCACCATCCCCCCACCACATCGTGACTTTGGCACCGAAATTAACTGAAAGGATTAACTGGACATTTTTATAATATCAAAACCTCCTGTCTCAGAAATGGTAAAAACTTCCATTTACTTGTGTCTTCTTTTATATAAATATTAAATAACATTTAAATAAATGCCATCATTTTCTAAACACAGGTTTTTTATGATTTTTTTAAGTTGCTAGAAATTTTATCTTAAGTCTATTTATTCTGAATACAATTTGTGATATTCAGCAAGTGATTTAGTGAATAAAAGTGAGTTCTTTTTAGACTCATACTCCTGAAATTAGCAAGGAAAGCTAAATTAGAGGTTGCAGGAACCTTGCAGACAACACGGAGACTATGCTGGGCCACCCACATGGCTGTGCCTCTTGCCCTCCCACCTGTCAGTCACGATGGCCACTGCCCTGCCCTGCAGGGGACAGCAGCAGCCAGCCTCACTCAGTCCACGCACCAGGACACAGAGGGTGTCCAGCTCAGGTAGCGGGAGTTGGGGATCTGCTTGACGCTCCTGACCACATACTGCTGCATTCCTCTGCTGCATTGCTCGGGAGCACTGGGCACCCAGTGTCCTCTTAGAGAGAAGAGAAGAGCTCTCCGATGGTGCAACAGGCCCTGCTGTTTCATCGTCTTATGCCACTTTCCTCCCTACCTTGACTCATTATAGCCCCTGGACGAGACCATGGATATGGCCATGGGATTCTCACCCCCAGTCACATGAGGGCACAAGGCTCCCTAACTCAGCAAACATGGAGTTAGTGCTCCTGGCCAGGTGGCCTTCAGGAGCCCCAGGCACTGCTGGAATGGGACCCAGCCCCTGGTGCTGCAGCAGAGGTGAGAACGGGACAAAAGGCCCTCCAGCAGGTGGTGACCGGAGGGCTGCTGGCCAAGGCTGGGCAAGGCCAGCCCTGGGTGGGTGGAGGCTGCAGAGGGAGGCTGTCCAGAGCCAAGGCCTGGAATGCTGGCGGGGGCTGCCTGGAAGGGCCAGCAGCGGAGCGAAGCTCAGAGGCACAGAATCACATGCAGCCTACCAGGTTAGACCCACCATTCTCATTTTTGTTGCAAACAGGCAAACAGCAGTGGGTTCCTCAGGAAAATCTGCATCCAGGGACACAACCCACACTCGTGAGTTCTCTCAGTCAATCTCCTCTCTCGACACCAAACACGGTGAGACAGAGACCGTGGGTGTAGTCAGAGTAGGGTGAAGGCCTCTAGAAGAAGACCCCTACCAAAACTCCATATTAAACAATTAAGCAAAGACAGAGTCACATTAATTCTCTAAAATAAAATATCAAACTAGGCATATAAGCATTCTTCAGTAAAGATTAGTTAAAACTAAAAAGTCAGAAATAACCTGGCCTGGAATGTTTGAACATCCCCCAGATAAGAAAGTACCTCAGCATGGCCCATGTCTTGTTTGTATCAATTAAATAAAGCTATTATAAAATTTACTTTAGCCTGCAAAAAGCCCAGTTTATCTTTAACTTTACCCAGATGCTGCTTTTCCTCCTCCAGCCCTAATCAAGTCAATAACTCAGCTCACCTTGAAAGCAAAACAAGTAGCCTTGATTGATTTGCTCCCAAACCAAAAAACTGTTACTCTGAGAAAGGATCAAAGCAGTAAATTTCTTATGTTAACTCTGCAAAATAGTCTGGAAACCTGATAAGAAACTTAGTGTCTCCTTAAAAATAAACATTTAGAGACCATTTGGTGGGTCTGCATCCCTAGCTGTTTGTCTCTCAACCACCTATAAATCCCCTAGACAGTGCACCACCGCAGGCTCTCTTGTCCCCTCCTGGCGTGAGCCAGGAGCTCTGTCTGTCCTCTCACTGTATCTGTCAATAAAAGACTCCCTGGCTCTCCTACCTTGACTGTTTGCTAAGTTCAGTCTTCGACTCCGCGAACAAGAACCCGGGCATCAATGGCAAGCTGCAACTGCTCACACAGTACTCTCTGTAGGTGGCCCCTACTGAGTCACAGATTCATTTGTTCAGTACCATGGGTTGGTTTCCTGCCAGCTGTGTGCCAGCCAGTGCAGTGTCACAGCCCCTGGAGGTGAGAGTGCCGGTGGGAGCTTGCTGCTGGGGCGCAGTGTTTGTGGTTCTCTTGGACATCCCCTCATTTCCTGTAACACCTGCCCCTGGAGGCAGCCAGGAAGTGCACTGCAGTCTCTCTCAGCAGAGGGGGCACATGGCTGTCCCCAGGCACCGATCCCTCCCGTCCTGCCGACAGCACAAAGAATGTCACCCGAGTACCTGATCTCACAAAACCCTGGCTTCAGGGCTACTGACCCCACTGGCCTCCAAGGGCCCGTCTGTGTGACCATCAGCAGGCTGCCTCACCGGGCTGGGCACGCACGGTCAGGGGTGTGGTGTGGGCCAGTGGGATGAAGGGATGCTGTGGCTCTTTGCAACTCAGGACCCTGTCCTGAGCCCTGCTTTAGGGTTCCTAACCCCCTTCCAGCTGTGTGCTAGCCTCAGGGCCCCACCAGGTGAGCAGGAGTTGTGGGTCCTGGCTTGTACCTGCACCTCCACTCAACATGCCACCTGCCCTGGGATTTGGAGCTGCAACATCAAAGGCAAAGATCACAGCCTTCCTCAGGCTGTGCCACCCACTCCCACTACAGGGGCTTGGAGGTGGGCAGGAGCCCCCAGAGCCTCCAGTGTCCTGATCCGTGAACTGCAGCTCAGGCAGTGCAGAAGGGTTCGGACAAGACCCTGTCATTCTCTGAGAAAACTACTCATCTGCAGAGAAATGACTCTGGTCCTGCAATTGGCCCCTGGAGAGACAAGCACCTGGTCATGGACCAAATGAGTTGCCACCATGGGCTGGGTGTCTCCTGGCCAAGGAGCCACAGGTGTGGATGCAGCAGCTACAAGATCAGGCCAAGCAGGCCCTGGAGGCACAGGAAGTTACATGAGGAGGCCCAGAGGCCATGGCCCGACACTCCATGCTGCCCCTCTCTCCCAGTCACACCTGAGGCCTCGGGGGGGGCTGCCCTAGCATCCGTTGATCTGAGGAAGGGGAGGCACAGGCAGGTTTACAGAAGGCTATGCACTATGTGGAGGCACCACCCGTAGTGGACAGTGGCCCTGCTTGGCCCCTCCCAGGCCCCCTGAAGGACAGCGTGAGAGAAATCCTCCCAGGGGCAGGATTCTCGGCACTGCACTGGGCCACTCACTGTCCTGGGGGGACACAAGCCCAACATGAGACTGCAGACCAGCTTGAGGGCTTCAACAGTGGTTTGCTGGACAGTCAGGAGCCTGGAAGCAGCATGATGGGACACTGATAACAAGGAGGTCTGGGGCACGGCTACATGGAAGACCTCCAAGTGGTGGAAAACATGGCGATACCTGTGTTCTATCGGAATGCCCAGAGGAGACTGATAACCAGTGGACAGGGCAGCCTTTTCTGGGAGCTCAGTCAGCCTGTTTCCCCAGCCACCTTGTCACTGCCCAAAGGGCTCATGAACAAAGTGGTCACGGTGGCAGAGATGGAGGCGATCATAGGCTCAGCAACTTGAACTCCACTCACCATGGCCAACCTGGCTACAGGCACCCACTCAGAGACCCAAAGGCCATGGCCCCTCAGAGACCAGCACTGAACCCCTGGCATGGCACCCTTCCCAAATGGGAGACAAAGGGGACAACTTCTGGGAGATGCCGTCCATCCTGGCCAGGGTCACGGCACAGCCCCATGCAGGCAGCCAAGCCCTGCCTCTCTCACTCTTGTGGTCAGTGGCCGATTGGCCACATTGAAACACGTCCATCACAGGAAGGGCAGCACCCATGGAGAGAAGCACTGTGGACATGGATTTGCTGTGCCCACCCAGAGGCATCTGAAAGATCCCACCACAGACACGCAGAGTGCCTGTCCTCCCCAATTCAGCGAGTGAACGTGGCAGTGGGTGCATGCTGATGTAATTCACTGGCTGTACCCCAGCCCGGCCATCCTGAACCAGATGGCATCACAGAACACAGAAAAGGCTTATGAAGACAGTCATGGTGCTAAATGAATGGCAGTGTCTGGCGGGGCTGGGGTAGTGTCCTCCAAGACTCACTTATGTACTAAACCAGCGTGCAACACAGGCGGTCCTGGCTTTGCATGGTCCTGCAAAGGACTGTGCAAACTGAAATCCAGGATCCTTAAAACCTTTTGTCAAAACATAAAAACCTCTCTCACTGTTGGTTATAAATGTATAGAAAAATAAAAAGCAATGAAACTAGTGTGTACCTGGCATACTTGTGATGGGCGTTAGAGAGTCCCTAGGACTTCTCCTAGTTCCTGAGCCAATGACCATGATGAGGCACTGCCTCTGGGATCACACGGTGTCCCAAGTCAAAGGGGTTTGCAGATGTGACTTGTTTCCTGATCGCCTGACTGTGCGTTACTCAGAGAGGATGATGGAAGATACAGTTCATCCACTCCAGACCTGTAAAGGCCGCAGGGCAAGACCTGGGAGGACTCCACATGCTGTGGCTGGCGTGGAGCTGGAGCAGACCACGTGCAAGATGGGAGAGCAGCCACTGGGCACTGGGACTAACAGTCCTACAACCGCCCAGAACTGGATACTGCCCACAGCAGTCTGAAGGAACCTCAAAGTGGGCTCCTCTTCAGACCCCCCAACAAAGCCCACAGCACCTTTACTTTAGCCCCATGGTGCCCAGAGCCAGAAGCCAGCTAGTAGAGCCCGACCTCTGACCTCCAGAGCTGCAATCACTTGTCAGGCAAGGACAGAAAGAGAAGACAGAGGGTGGAAGCGTAGTGCTGCCATAACAAACCCAAGGTGGGGCTAGCATGGGCCCAGCAGTGGGGCAGGCGGGAGACAGTGTGCCCAAATGGCCATGGCTGCTGCATCACACCCATCCCCTCCTCTCCTGCCCCACAGAGTTCCAACCATCAGAGACGGAAGTCGGCCCTGCAACAGTGGAAGGCCAGTCCCTGCAAGGATCTTGTCCACATGGGAGGGAGGCCACGGAGAAGGAAGCATCCTGGTCCTTTTGTGGGAGATGCCAGAGAGGCATCCTCCCACCCTGGACATGCTGGTGGACATGCGGGGACCTGCTGACGTCTCTGGGCCACCCCACAGAAGGCCGGCCTGGGGCTGAGGATGCCCACACAGTTGGGAGGACCAGGGAGAGGCAGGCCAGTGGAGAATGCCGTTGCTGGGTACAACCAACCGTGGTCCCTTCCTGCCTCTGGGGTTCCAAGAAATGTGGACCAACAAATTCCTTTCCCTTAGGACCTTCTGAGCCAGCTATTCTTTTACTCACAAAATAAGAGGTCGCCAACGGTACCCCAGTGCAGGGGCCCTGCCTGCCAGCCCCCAGGTGTTACGATCCTCTTCACTTGGTGATAAATATCTAACCCTACAAATATATTTGAGCAAATCCATAGGAGTTCAAATGTCTTGCTGAAGGTGAAGTAATGGTGATCATGAGGCCTAGCATGGGGCTGGAGCTCGCCACTGAGTTCCTAGAGGAGGAGGGATGCACGACTTACAGGCAGTGGTCCTGTTTTTAAGACTGTGGCCTACTTCTTTGCAGTTAATTTGGGTAATGCTTATCAGTTCTTTATCACGGAGATATACACACACACACACACATATACACACATATATAATACGTAATAATATGTATTACATATATATTATATACATATGTATATGTATATAACACATATATATCTCCATAGACAAAAAAAAGGGTATGAAAAACAGTTTCTCATAATACAGAAAAATGATAGCTGATCTGACACAAATAGGGAGAAATTCCCCTGGAATGTGACCCGCAGTCAGTCACACGTGGCCTGGCTGCAAACGGCAGGGACGCTGTTTGACAAAGCCCCACGGCATGGCCAGGAAGCTCAAAACACAGCTGGGGATGCAGGGCCAGGAGACACCTGTGCCCCGCAGAGAAGAGAAGCTGGCAGCAGAGCACATGGTGGCCAGGACACAGCACGGGCAGGAACTGTGGTAGGCACAGCGGGCTGGCCGCCCAGGTCTGGTGTGGGTGCTGTTGTTCAGACAACCCTATGGTCACCTCTGCCTGCCACCACACTCCTGGATGTGTGCTGGACCTGGTGAGGTTGGGGGCCACAGGAGCTGGGCGAGGGGCCGGTGCTTGGAGGCTTGTCCAGCATCCAAGTGAGAAGTGTACCCTGTGGCCCACAGATACACAAGACCGACTTCCTGGAGACCCTACCTACAGCTGACGTGGGCTGGTACTCCCATTAGTCCCTCTTCCTTTCTTCTCACAAAAATGATTTCACTGCCCCAAGTGAGCTGCAGCTTGAAGTTTAATGCTTACTCCTTACTATGCCAAATAATCAACTTCAGGGAGCGACGGGGCTGACGCAAGGGCTGGAGCAGTGGGAGGGGCAGCAGGAGCCTGGATTTGTCCCCAGGTGGCTGTCCTCTGAGCTGCTGAGGCTCCAGCCCCAAGGTTTTCTAACTTCGCAGTCACTGTTGTTCCAAGCTGTCTAGTTTAAACCCAAGTCAAAAAGCTCCTGCAAACCTCTCCAACTCTGCCACCACCTGCAGGTGGCTCTGGGGTCTTGGGGCCCCTCTTCTATCCCTGGCCTGGGCAGCAGCAGAGAGGAAGCCCAAGGTGAGACCTGCACGCCCTCTTCCCTCTGCCTTCACTCAGAGGACCACAGTGTGTGATGGGGACAGTGGGTTCTAGCTCCAGGGAGGCAGGTGGAAAATGAGGCTGAAATGCTCCATTAGCACCAGACCTGAGTGGGAAGAACAAGGGGCTTATCTAGGCCCACTGGCACCATCAGGCCACACACACTCACATCCCCCGGAAACAGCAAGCCCTGGGGAGCATGGAGCCCCAAAGAATGAAGTGCACCCCAAACCTGTAGATTTCCAGGGACAGTCCAGCACCCACACCCCTGGCACCCCTCACTGTGCCTCCTCTGGCCCACCTGGGTCAGCCAGCCACCATGCACCTGTCCAGGGCCCCATCCCAGAAATGCCCTGGGTTTGGGTATGGCCTCTGCAGAGTCCCCATGTCCAGCTGACCCTGCTCTGCCCCCTTCAGCCCCACATTGCCCAGCTCCTGGCCTCTAGGATCCTGGGATTTGCCCCGCCCCTCTGCTTATCCAGCTTCTCTGGTTCTCAGACACTTCAATGGAGCCTCTGCGTACTGCATGCCACCAGCCTCAACCCTCATCCCCACATCACAGAGGGGACAGAGCAGCCAGCAGGTCCCAGCAATGGGGGAACCAGTTAAGATGGTGAAGGTTCTGGGTGGCCACAGAGCTGCCACAGCTGCCCAATGCCTTGGCGGTGGTGCCTTCTGCCATCAGGACAGTGCCCTACACAGGTGACATCAGGGACACCTCGAGGACCCAACCCATACACGTGCGCAGCTGAGCCCACTCACGTCTGCCTTCCTCCTGGGGCTTGTGCCCTGACCCTGCCATCCACTCCCTAGTCTCCTGTACACACACCAGGTGGACGCTCAGTGAGAGCAGGGCTGCTGATGACATGACAGCCACACGTTAGACTCAGAACTGCTGTGTGTGGCCCATGAACCAGGATCCAGGTGCCCCTCCCACTCTGCGTCCGGAGGCCTCTGCCAGGAGAAGGGTGTCCCCTGGCACTGAGTCCCAGCACTGTGGGTGAGAGTGGAAGGCTTCAGAAATTAGTATCCACTTGTCATACTTTCCACTGAAGTTATGTGAATAAAGCAACCTTTTTTGAAATGGGAAATCTCAGCTTGCCAAACCAAATGTGACTCTGGCACATCGGAGGCTGGAAATATGGTTTGAATAAATAGCACTTTTTTTTAATTTAAAAAATCAAGAAGCAACCCATGAATAGCAAAGTTAATAAAACTAGATTTAACTTTTCAAGATTTAGAACAGCAGTGGAACAGCCGGTGCTCATTTTTTTTGTCCCTATTAATCACCTAACCCTGTGTCCATGGGGCACTCTCCCAAAACTCTGAACAGCACCCTGCACACAATGGGCTTTATGAACTCCTGCTATATAGGAACTTTTTCTACCTGCCAGGAGGGCAAGGGCATGAACTTCCTCCACTGCCCACCTGTCCTGCCCAGAGGGCAGGCAGAGGCCACACACACACGTACCTGTCCAGGTGATGTGCAGGTATAGGACATACCATGTATGTACCTGTCCAGGTGATGTGCAGGTACAGGACACACCACACATGTACCTGAAGCAGGTGATATGCAGGTGCAGGACATACCACAAATGTACCTATCCAAGTGATGTGCAAGTACAGGATGCATCACGCATGTACCTGTCCAGGCGATAGGCAGGTGCAGGGCACACCACAAATGTACCTGTCCAGGGATGTGCAGATACAAGACATACCACACATGTACATCGAGCAGGTGATGTGCCAGCACAGGACACACTGCATACATACCTGGATCCGAGTGATGTGCAGATACAGGACACAGGACACCAGGAAGCAGATGCAGAACACCAGCAGGAGCAGGACAGCCACACTCCTAGGACAGAAGTTGTGCTGTCACTGTGGGTGGGTGAAGTGTGCCTGAAAGGTACCTAGGAATCACCCAGTCCTACCCCACCAGGTCCCCTACCCACTTCAAGGGTGGGGCCCTTCTCATGTCCACCCCAAACTCCACCTGCCTGCTCTCTGCAGTCCTGTGAACTTTCAGGAAACCTTCTGTCCTTCAGGAAGGGCTGCAGCCTGGCTGCTGACACTGCCCTCTTCCTAGGTTCCTCTAGAAAAGCTTCCTTCCCACACCAGGCCTTTGGGTGGTCACCCTGTTCACCATGTCTGGGGAGTGGGGCAGCTTCCTTAGGTTTCTGGAGACTCAAGGGAGGCGTACGCCACTGCAGCGGCTAATTAAGAAAGTGGAATGTCTGGAGATATTCTGGGGTCTTCCCAGAATAACAAAACAAAACACAAAAAAACCTGCCAAACTCACTTTGAATTATTTTAAATTATTATAATTTTCTTCATTTCCAGAGGCCATTTTTTCTCATTCTAATGTTTCTGAGAATGACATGCATGTAGAAACCAATGTGCATTTTCTCCCTCAAAAGTTGTCCTGCAGTCAGTGGTCATGTTGTGTAGATGGGGACACTGAAGTTACATGGTGTCTTAGAACTGCGCAAATTATAAGTTAAAAACTGAGAGTAAGCCATCCCCCACATGCCATCGCTTGCTAACCTAGTGACCTGGGTAAGTGGGTGTAAGGCTCTCATCTGCCCAGCTGCTAGGCACCAAGAAAAGATGGCCCTGAGAGGGAGAGGAAATCCCAGTGACCTTCTGGTCTGACTGATGGACATGGAGCGACACTTACTGTGGGATTATCAGCAGGTAGACAAGGCCAAATGAGGCTGCCAGGATGAGGGCAAGCACGACAGCGCTGGTAAAGTACTCATCCTGAAGCTGGTGGTACTGGGAACAAAGAGGGCTGTCAGGGGCTGCTGGCCATGTCTCACAGTCTCCCCAGGCCACTGGGCTGCCAAGGGCCTCTGCAGCACGTGGCCACATCTACAGTGCCTCCAGGATCCTGGCTGTGCCTAACGCCCAGTCAATTACCTTTCGCTCTCGCTCAGCCTGCTTGTACTTCAGTGTGAAGAAGTTCAGGTCTGCCATCTCCAGCTCTGTCTGGCGAGCTTCTAGGAGGCGGCCGATGTACCTGTTCACGCGAGTGCCCGGGGTGGTGTAGACGACATTTGTAGAGAAAGACAAGCGGTTTCTGAGTTTTTCTGAGGCTGTTCTCAATGCTCTCCGCTGCAGGCATCACGGAAAGAAAGGTACATTGTCAAATTTCCACTTTGGAACAGAAGACCTTGCACACTTCTTCTGGTCTGTCTCTTTATCCACTGCAGCGTCTGGAGGCCCAGCGTGGGAATCTGAGATGTAATCATGTCTCCACTGGCTGCTGGCAGTGACATCTCAGGAGTTAGCTCATCATCAGTGCAGGGGTTCCATCACACAACATGGATGTGCCGGCACCGTGGAGAGTTTCAGGACCCCATTTGCATGCAGTGAGGGGATGGTGCTCAGCACAGAACAATGAAACAAAAATGGATTCTTTGAAAATATCATTAAAATTGACAAAGTGAGTGTGGCAAAGGAAAAGAGAGAAAGATACTAATGAATTCAAGAATGAAATGTTATTTCACTACCAGCCCTGCAGACATCAAAAGGATGATAAGGAAATACTATGAAAAACAGTACACACATAAATTTGACAACCTTGATCAATGATTGCTCCTCAAAATACATAAACTACCATAACTCACACAGCATGGAAGAATTAGAATAGTCCCATGATTACTGAAGAATTTGAATTCATAACTGTAAATTCCTGAAAAAGTAATCTCCAGACCCAGGTGGTTTCACTGGAGAATTCTACCTGACAGAAATAATAATTAATTTCTACCAATCTCTTCCAGAAAATAGAAGAGGAGACAACATTTCACAACTCAATTTATATAGTCAATATTATCCAGATACTAAAATCATACCAAGACAGGACAAAAAGGGAAACTACAAGTCACATGTCTCATGAATATTGACACAAAAATCCTTAACAAAATATTAGCAAATATAAGTGTACATTATGACTGTTTCTAGAGATGCAAGGCTATCTAAATACTTAAACACCAATTCAGTCTACCATATTAATGCCATACTAACCTCCATACAGACAATCCCATGGTTTTATCAATTGATACAGAAAAAGTATTTGACAAAAGTCAATACCCATTCATGATAAAATGATCAGAACCTAGGAATGGAGAACTTCCCCAACTTGATGAAGAACATCTACAGAACTTCTACAGAACATCTACAGCTAACCTCATAGCTACTCATAAAAGACTGAATGCTCTCCCTCTATGATCTGGAGTAAAGCAAGTATGTTTGCCTCACCCTCCTATGCAACATAGTACTAGAAACCCCAGCCAGTGCAATAAGGCAGGAAAAGGAAATAAGAGGCAAACAGATTGAAAACAAATATAATGAAACTATCCTTACTTGCAAATGACATTATGGTCTACATAGAAAATTCTAAGTGTTGGCATAAATTCTAGAAGAAATATTATCACAGGATACAAAATTTTTAAAAAATCAATAGTATTTCTTTACACTAGCAATGGACATGTAAAGATGGAAATTAAAATTTAGTACATTTATAATCACTGAAAAAATAAAACACTTTGTGTAAATATAACAAAACATGTACAGAACTAGTATGCTGAAAACTATGTAATGCTGATGAAAGAAATCAAAGATCACAATAAATTGAGAGACATACCATCCTCATGGATGAGAAGACACATTATAATTAAGATGTCAATTATCCCCATATTGATGCACACAGGTTTAACATAATTACTATCAAAATCTTAGTAGGACATTCTTTATAGATAAGCTTATTCTAAATAGTAAGTGGAAAAGCAAATAGACTAGAATAGCTTGTTTTTCTTAAAAAGAATAAAGTAAGAGGAATCAATTTCCCCAGTTTTTTAATGACTTACATTACCTACATTAATCAAGACAGTATGGTGTTGCAGACGGACAGACACACAGGTCTGTGGACCAGAACAGAGGGCCCAGAAATAGCCTCATACAAGTATGGCCAACTGGTTTTTGACAGAAATGCAAAAGCAATTCAATGGAAGGAGAGCTTTTCAGCAAATGATGCTGGAACAACTGGACATCCACAAGCAAAAACATTAACTCAAAATGGATAGGTTTAACTGTAAAACATGTAACAGCATAAACTGTTAGAAGAAAAAGTGAAAATCTTTTGGATTTGGAACACAAAGAGTTCTTGGAGATGACACCAAAAATACAGTTTACAAAAAGAAAAAATCAATAAAAGGGACATCTTCAAAATTAAAAACATCTGCCCTGTGAAAGATTCTGCTCAGAGGATGAAGAAACAACTACAGACCAGGAGAAAATATTTGCAAATCACATCTCTGAAAAATCTAGAATTTGTTAAGAACTCTAAAAAATCAACAGTATGAAAACATCAAGTAATCCAATTAGAAAGCAGACAAAAGACACAAAGAGACATTTCACTGAGAAAGAAGAGAAAATATTGAAGAAATTAAGCACTCAAAAAGATGTGCAAATGATTAGCCATCTGGGAAATACAACATAAAATCACACAGTATCAACATGCACTTACTAGAACAGCTAAAAAAAATTTTTTTTTTAGATTAGTGATAGTGCTGGTGAGGATGCAGAGAAACTGGTGATCTCACACATTGCTGGTGGAACTATGAAATGGTAGTCATTCTGGAAACTATTTTGACAGTTTCTTTGAAAGACCAAACATGAGCCGAAAATGGCACACCTGCGTAGCTATCCCAGAAAATAAACATTTATGTCCACACATATCTCAGATCATGAATGTTTATAGCAATTTCATTTGTAATAGTAAAAACTAGAAACAACCAAAATGTCCCTCAACAGGTGAGTTGTTAAGCAAACGATGGTCCATCCAAACCATGGAACACCAGTCAGCAGGGTAAAGGAAGCAGGTATTGACATAGGCCACAAGTTGGAAGGACCCAAGGATTTGAGGACTCAAGAAAAAGTCAGGATCAACAGGTCACATACCACATGATTCCATTTATACAGGATCCTTAAGCCACAAAATAGTGGGGATGGAGAATAGATCAGTAGAGCCAGGGTTTAGGTTTGGTTGTGGGGAGGAGGCAGTATGGCCACAGCAGGAGGAAAGCCTTGGCAGTGACAGACATGTTCTATATTCACAGGTGCTGGTGCTTACATGAAGCTCCCATGTGATGAAATGGCACAGAACCACATACACACCATGCACCCACGTCCGTTCCCTAGCTTGACTAAGCCCACTGTAGTTCCATAAGATGCCTCTGAGGGAAACGGGTAAGAGTACCTGAACCTGTCTGCACAGGCTGCTTGATGACCTAGTGTTACATGTGTGTGACTGGAGGTATGTAACTCTACCTCCAGAAAGCTGTACAAATGTTCAATAAATAGAGAAAAAAAACTAAGCATCTACAAGCTCTCCTTGGAGATCAATCACTGATATTTTGCAGGACATCCCTGCAAACTTTTCCCTATGCCAACAGCAGCTGTGAAGGTGTATTTTCCAGGTTACAGGATCCCATTTCCTGCCTCCCTGGGCCTGAAAGTCAGCACCAGAGGACCTGCAACCAGGAGCAAGAGGGGCCTGTGAGCCGGAAGCCCCCTGTAGTTAACATGATCGCCTGTGTGCCTGTGCATTCTTTCTCCCAGGGCCTGGCACATCTGTAAACATTAAAACAGCAGCACTTGACATCACAGCTCTGAGACTGAGCTGGCACTCGTGCAGGTCAGCCAGAGGCAAGTGCAGACACATGCCACCACTCCTGGGTCATGGAAGTCCAGGCTGAGTGACTGAGGTGCAGCCTCTGCCTGCCAGCCCAGGGTCTGAAGAGGCCAGCACAGGGCTTTCTCCCCTCATAGTCACAAGGAAGCCAGTGTTTGAACCTTTGGCAGAGGGTTTCTCCCCCGAGGTCATGGGCAGCAAGACCCAAGGGTGTCCTTGTTGGGCCTGGCCCATGGCCGAGGTGGTCCAGGGGCATTATTCCTCCTTCAGGGAATGGCACCCAGGTCAGCGCCATGCGGCTGGGAGCTCCCTTTGTGGGAAGCATTTTAAGAACAGTTTCAAGCTCCTAATAGACAAAGGGGTGCTCAGATTCCCATTTCTCCCTGGATCATTTTGCTGTTTTGAGTTTTACTTAGAATTCGTCCATTTCTTCAAAATTGTGACGTGTGTGGGACAGTGCCATCTTACCTTTCACAGTGAACAGCTCAGGATTGACCAATGCCCCCTGATTCCTGGGACTCTGGTAATTTGGTGCATTGGTTGAATTGTCATAGCTGATGTCTCTGGGTTTAATCTACTTCAAGGACAAGGGCTGTCAGGTAGCAAGGAGCAGGAGCCCCTACAGGAACTTTCCAGAATCTGGCCAGTGAAGGTCAGCATAAGGCTGAGCCAAAGATGTACAAGAGGAAGGGATGGATTGCTGAGGACACCAATCTCTTCAGCTGGGCCACAGGGCACGGCATTGTGGGGATGGCCCAGGCTCATGTTGGACACTGTTCAAAGGCCACAAGTCTTTCTTGGGCCTGAGAAGTGAGTTCTCCAAGCTCGGACCCAGTCTGGTGAGTATTCATGCCTACAGAAGTGGGGGACCTGGTGCTCAGGAGATGGAGCCCCAGGTGTGGAGGGCCTGGCTGGGCAGCCAGGTGGCTAGCATTCAGCAGTCTGTCACAGGAGCGAGCTGGGCAAACATTGAGGGGACAATTTGGCAACAGGCATCGAGAACTGTGATACATTATTTAGTCCAGTAATTTCACTACCAAAACGTTACCCTTAGCTATCCTTGGAAAGTTCACCAAGATATACATAAAAACAATGTTCTCAGCATCAGAACCAGGACTGCCAAAACTCCATTACATAAAGGCCCTGGGCACCAACGTGGCACTGGACACTGAGGCAGCTGGGCCATGCTGAATGGCTGGGCTGTGCTCCACCTCCAGGTCTCCCAGGTCTGTCAGTGAGGGGACACAGGTGTGAGCTCCTATCTGCACTGACCTTCTGGCACATGGCAGATTTTCTGGAAGGAAATACAAAATGGTAAACAGTGTGGAGGATATGATTTTTGTATTGTGTGTATGTGTTACTTCTATTTCTAAAAATACGTATGCTCAAATATTTTTAAATATGATGAGAAGGACAAAAGCAGCATTTACAGAAAGGGTAGCAGAGAACTGGGACATTCTAGGAGGGGTGAATCTGCTGTCAGCATGGTTGCCTAGGGGAGAGCATGTCCCCACACCGGCCAGGCAGGGAAGCAGGCCCACCTGCTGTTACAGGTGAGGCTGGCACCCCTGACTCTCAGCGGCAACACAGCAGCTTGTGCAGATATTTGACCCACAGAATTTCACTTCACAAAATGATTAGAGTTGTAAACACACTTTCATTAGCAAAAATTCTGTGAATTATTTACTTTGACAAAAAACAAAAAACAAAAAGGAAAAATGGTATTTACCAACAGAGGCTGAGTAAGTACATGGTTTCTCCTCAGGCTGGAAATTTTTACAAGGATTCAGGAATTACGTTTTCAAGAGATATTTAATAACATAAGGACATGTTTATGAGGCCTTCCCTTCTGTGGGGCATTTCCAGAAAACCCAGGGCCTGACAAGGTGGGCAGTGAGACCAAAGCCCCATGCCCCAAGAGAGCCCATCCGCAAACACCCCCCAGGGCAGACCCTGCTCCAGGGATGCTGAAGAGGGAACACCTGTGCACACACCTGGCCTCCCAGGCCAGTTCCTGCTACCTGGGACACAGACACCACAAGCTGGGCACGCAGCTGAACGCCTGGCAGCGGGAAGGCCCATTTGATGGAATTCACCACCCCCGGGGCCCTTACGGAGTTTCTAGACAAAGTTCTCACATTTATGAGCTCACAATCAAAACTGCAAAAAATATGGCGGCAATAAGCCCCACAAGCAAGAGTTAGCAGAATTTTGCTTCTTCCTGGAAAGACTCTAAAACTGCAGTGATGAAATTCCTTTTAAAGGCACAAAACCCACAGAGGAAGAGAAAACAGGAGTGATGGAGGCAGCTGCGCAGTTCGGAGACGGGAGTCGGTCACCAACAGAACAGATGCAAAGCGAGGCATCAGGAAACAGCCTCTAGGTCCCAGAGGCCAAGAACAGGATGGCACGGCTCAAAGCTCCTGCGGGTCTTGTGGCACCTGGCTTCACCCTGGCTCCAGGACATGGCCCTCCTGCCACAGATGCAGAGATCTTCCCCTACAGGATGGGGTCTCTGGCCCAGGGTTAAAGACACAAGGCCCAAGCAGTTGAAGTGGGTACTGCAGACCACCCCCCCACTGACTCCTCCCACCTCCAGACACACACCAGACCCTCCCACCCAACCCCAGGAGAAGCCTAGGATCTCTGATGGCAACTCTGACCAAACCAAGAAGATGGCCAATCCTGGCACCTGGGCCACCTGCAAAACTCCCAGGGGAGGCCTGGCAGGTACTGGAGCCATGTGCCATCAGCTGGAGGGACTTCAAGGAAGAGTGGCTGCTGATGCAGAGGCAGGAGCCCAACCAGGGGACGCCCCCATGGAGGTGGGGTGTGAGCCCGCCGGGTGGCAGGACCCAGACAGAGGCTCACAGACCCCTGAGGTGCATGCACTTCCTAAGACAGACTTAGACAAGGTTGGGGGCTCTTGGAGTGTGTGGCTGTACCCATGAAGGCAGGGGTACTGGGGTGCAGAAACGATACCAGATAGTAAAGAGGGCTTTGTGGGAAAGCAACAGCAGCCTGGCTCTGAGCTGCTCCCCAAGCCCCAGGCCGGTCTGGCCCCAGAGCGAGGGGCGGTGGACGGCGAAGCCTACCTTGTCGTCATCCTCGCAGGTCATGACGTTGGAGAAGGGGATCTCCGCCTTGAACATCTTGCGGCAGTGCATGAGCTGCACGAGCAGGTAGCACACGGTCTTGAACTTCATCCTCTTGGCTGGTTTTATGTCTGAGAGAATCAGTCCTGGGAAAATCTGCATCAACGTGGCAGAAACTGTGAGCGCCCTGTCTAGGCAGGAGCAGGTGGGGCGCAGGGAGGTGGAGGCCATTTGCTCAGGGCCAGATAGAAGGGAACAGAACCAGCAGCCCAGCACCAATGCTCCAGCTCTCAGCTGTGCCTGCCTCTGAACAACCAGGGTCAGGTGCGAATCCCGAGGCAGAGTGGAGGCAGGTTTGGGCCTGGGGTGGGGACAGACCTGGAAGCTTAGCCATGACCCAGCTGGGTCAGCCCCTGGCTGATGATGCCACTGACCCCCTCTGCCCTCCTGCCCACTCCACCCCCCCACTTTCAGGGCTCCCACAAAGACCCTAAATTCTTTCCTCCTTAAACCCCAAGACATCCCTTCTGCCTTTCACTGTTCTCTCTCCTCTCACCCCATACTTCTCCAGAAGAGTTGTTCGTGCACCCACCTTACCCCACTCACCCTCAACCTCCACCCTGGACTCTGTGAGTCAGGAGAAGGCCTGGCTCCCAGGCTCCCTCTACAGCCCACCCTGCTCCCACAGCCCAGGGAGACCCACTCTCCTGGGGTCCAGGCCTAAGCCGTCACCCACCCTGCTCCAGGCACACTCCTGGCTGCACCTCTGCCCCGGTCATCTCTTCAGGAGCGAGCAGGCTGTGCCTAGCCTGTGCTGCCCTGGGCCACTCCCACCAGGGTCTCCAAGCCACATGGGCCCCTGCATCCCAGGGCCTGAAAGTGCCGGACCACGGACGCACCAGGACAGCAAACCAGGAGCTCTCCCTTGTATCCAACCTGCATGCATTCTGAAGAAGTACTGAGGCCATCCATGCCCCAATCCTTCACCTGATCCCTGACCCCTGACTTGAGCCTGTGACCCTCACCTGAGCACGGATCCCCTCACCTGAGCTCTGCACCCCTTGCCTGAGCCCCACACCCCTTGACTAAGCCCCGGAAGCAGCTAGGTCACCCTCCATTGTGTTCAGATTACTTTCCCTGGGCAGAGGGACCTCGAGTGCCCCACACAGGATGGTCACAGTGCCTCACAGTCCACCATGCACCACATCCCTGACCCCTGCAGCAGGTTCAAGCCTGTTTGTCAGGAGAGGCGGTGGTGCCCAGGGAGGGGTGGCGGTGAGGGTGCACCCCCACCCAAGGAGTGTCGGCCCCTCCCCCCAGTACTCTGCCTCCCACATCTGCAAGGTGAGGCCCAGGACACAAGTCAGAGGGACACCCCCATCTGTGCAGAGCCCACACTAGGGTGAAACAGGGTCTGCACAGGGTCCAGGCTCACCTTCCGCCGGTGTGATGGCACGATGAAGAAGGTCTCAATGCTGTGGGCCCTCAGAAAGCTGTTCCTCTCATGCCCACAACCTGGCTCCACCTCGTAGTCACCATTCAAGCATGCCAGGGTTGTCTTGGTGATGTGGACCTTCCTGCAAAAGGCAGGCAGATCTGGAACAGAGGCATGGTCACTGGATCAAGGCAAACCCACATCTGCTCCGCGTCCAAGGCTGAGGCCCTGCAGGTAGTGGCAGAGGCACCCTGCCTATGGGTCAGTCATGGAAGAGCCATCGGGTTCCCTTGTCACACATGCATGGGTCACCTGGGAAGAAGGGAGAAGGAGAGCCAGGGTGGGGAGGGACCTTGCTGAGGAGGACACTGCACAGGAGTGCTGCGAGCCATGGGCAGGGGATCAGAGAGGTGTGTGGTGCATGGGCTGTGACACTCAGTGTGAGCACAGGGACCACGTGCAGTCTGCATCACCCCGCACCCATCTGCTTGGAGGTGTGTGCACTTTGGGCCCCTTTCTGCATTCATGTCCCTGCTGCCCCTGCTGAGCAGAGGTCAGAGCTCTTGTTGGTTCTTGCATTGATCTTTATAGAATACCACACCTTGACTTCACAGACCAGCTTAAACAAAAACAAGACTGGCCAGGGGCACTAACCATGTTGGAGGTCACGCACCAAGAGTACCAGAGAAGTGCGCCTGCCCTCATGGGTTCTAAAGCCACAGCAGGCCCCTCCCATGTGGCTGGGGCAAGTCTGGGCTTCCCACTTGGATGGTCAAATTAGAACTAGGTGCCCCTGAGGTCACAGCAGGCTGCTTCACCCCACTTACCCTGGCAGGCCAGCGGCCTCCATGACATTGGCCAGGGTCACATCGTTAGACCATACATCATATTGCCACTTGCGCAGGCCCAGGACCCCACAGAGAACCCTGCCGGTGTGCAGCCCCACACGCATGTTCAGGTCCACCTCAGTGGCCTCGGCCACCGACCTGGAACAAACACAAGCATAGGCGTGGAGCAGGGCCAGGCTGTGCTGTGCCACTGCAGGGCCAGGCACAGGCCTCCCAACGGGCGGGAGGCCCTGACCTGCTCAGCCCATCCCAGGGCTGTGGCCTGGGGACAGAGGGCGGCTCCAGGTCAGGCCCCTAATCCCAGCCACTGTGCATCTCATGAGGAGTCTCCATTTCCCTTCGTTCCCTCGCCAAAGGCAAATGAACCCTGGCCCCCAATCCCAGGACCCTTATCCTGCTCTGTGTCCTGCTGACCCCATCAAGGGGTTTGTGCCTGCTTGCTGGCCAGAGGCCGGCTGAAAACCCACCAGGAACTGACATTCTCCACAGCCCAGGAGCCTGGGAAGGGCCAGGTGACCCTACTCTATGGGACCGAGAGGGTGGGCTCCAGACATACCTGTGGGCAGGCTCGCAGCTCCAAAAACCTGACCTGCACAATAGGCAGATTTTATGGGATGTAAACTGGTGGATAAACAAGACAAAGTGTGGACTGGGAAACCAGACTGCAGAGCCAGGGCCCCGGCAAACCCGTAGCCGGGATGATGTGGGCAGGCCACTGCAGGCTCTAGGCCCCAGCCAGGCTGAGGACCTTGGAACAGCATGAATCCCCAAGTCCTCCGCAGAGAGACTGCCAGGGCGGGTGGCTCAGTACAGGGGGTGTGCTGAGGGGGCGCTGTGCAAGGGCACAGTGCAGTGCAATCCAGCACCGGCATAAGCTCCTCAGAAGACAATGGGCCATGTGGTGGTGTGGGAGGCGGGGCACCATGCACGGTTCTCCAACTCTGACCCTCTGCTGAAGTGGCTGGCAGGAGGCACACGAAGCACTGCCAAGCAGGGGGTGGCACAGTGGCAATGCAACCCCTTTGATGCTATTTTTCTGTATTTCCTACTTTTCCTCAAAGGGCAGGTGCTATTTTATTTTTAAAAGGTCTAAAACACATCCTGAGGAAGCAATAGAGGCCAGAGAGGTGTGCCTCAGGGGACAGAAGTGCCAGGAGGCATGCAGGAGTAGGGCAGCGAGGGCTCAGCCACAGCGGCTCCCCAGACAGTCTCAGCTGGCCCGATGGCTGGCATGTCACTGGGTCAGCAGCAAAGCCCTGTGCCAAGATGGGGTAGGAGGCTGGGCAGGGGCTGGGGACATGGTGGCTTCATGGAGGAGGGAAGGGGAATTGCATGGCTGCCATCCTTGGGCCAGCCCCTCTGGGTCCCTCCTGAGAGCCAGTCCCCTTGCCCACCACACCTACCCCATGTAGCAGCCACATGGAGGCTGTGAGCTCACAGCAAAATTTCCCTCTGCTTTAAAACTGGGGGGTACCCACGTTCCCACCTTGTTCCAAGTGCAACAAGGGCCTAGCCCAGAAGTTGTGCCCTGGAAGCCCTCCCAGATCCTCAAACAGTAAACTCACACCAATCCCTTCTAGGCCCTGGTCACTCTGATCCTCGGACAACAGCTGTGTCAGCGTACGTCAGAAGACACTGCTGGGTTCCACACCCTGACTGCCACACAGCCACGTGGCCCAGCAAAGACACAGTGGTGCCCAGAGCCCATAAAATATCTTGATTAAAAAAGATTAAAAGAAGATGAGAGGCTTCAAATCACAAAGAATAGAGATTTGTGGTCTTCATCAGGGAAGACATAGATAGGACGGGGACAAGACATCAGGCAGTGACTTCTCAGGGGCTGGAGAGGAGAATAGGGGAGAAGGGCTGTCTGTGGCTGGCTAGGCTGTGGGCAAAGACCGTCCGGCTCAGTGAAAGAAGTGGCACTGCCAGGATGCCACCAGGAAGAGCCCAAACAGGCTGAGCAAGGGTGGGGGCCCTACAGGTCTGTCAAGATGTTGCCTGCCTGCCGGCCAGGCTGAACCCCAGCCTCTCTGGCCTCCATGCAGAGACCAGACCCTTGTCAAATAAGCCAGGTGTCCTAGTGCACAGTCAGCTCTGACAGCCTTGGAAGTATGCATGCCACAGATTCATCATAAAAGTTAGCTGGGGTTTGGCTGTTTCTAATGCCTATTTAGTTTTCTACAGTATGAATGTGCTTTTTTTCAATTTTAACTTTTTTTCAGTCATTTGCCAATCTTCAGTTAAAAGCACTGGAATAAAAAAGTAAGTTAAAAAAAAACGTTTTTTTCCTGAAATTCACAAAAGGAAATGAGTTTTGGGAATGTCAATAAGCAAACAGTATCTGTCTGCATGTTTTGCAATGTTGACTTCCACAGCCCTGGAAGGACAAAGGTCCCAGGCAGGTCTGGGGCCCACATGAGCTCACGCAGGTAGTCTGGCTCCTGACGTGCAGCACGGCTGCCAGCCTCCCACGGGAACCACAGCCTGGACATTCTCCATCTGGCACGTCCTCCAGCAGGTTCAAATCTCTCAGTCTGGTGCCAGGATGTGCACTTAACTGGACAGTCATGTCTAAAGGAATTGAGAATAGCCTCACCCGAATGCATTTGCCAAGAACAGAGATGTGAGAGGGGGCCAGGCCTCCAGAATGGTCAGAAATGGTTTCTCCCAATTGGCCACCCCTTCCAATTGCACCCCCAGGCTTGGGTTGCTCCAGTCTGGGAACATCGATGGCCCAGCACACACCAGCTGGCCTCACCAGGTCAAAGCTGGGTCCGGGAAGGAAGGCTTTGTGCCATCTGCTCCTTCAGTCAGTGCAGCAAACCTAAAATGCCTAGACCATGAGCAAAGTCACATGTGATTAAGTCTCTGGCAAAACGGCGCCTCACCTGGTGGTCAATTTCATGATTTGCTAAGTCCTGTGACAGACAAGGCTTTCCTGTGTGAGGTGGACCCCTGTTCTGCAAGCATTAGAAATCACGATGCTTTGGACACCATGTAGGGGAGCCGCTGGCTCTCTCACCGCTGAATGACTTCCATTTCCGGGCAGTTGATGAATTGATGCTCCCCGTAGCTGGGGACCCAGGGACCTCTGTGCCAGACCACTAAAACTTAGATCCACTTAATCTTTACAACAGCTGAGTGTTCACTTTAGAGCAGAGAAACTCAAGAACTTGACGAAACAGAGGCACCTTGAAGGATGAGGAGTCAGGAATCCAGGGGTTTGTCTGCCTGCTTGGCATCAGAGCCCCCAGCCCATTAGAGAGCAGTTAAATCTGGGGCCTGATGGATCCACAAGGATCCTGGATCACAGCCCAGACCTGTAGGCTCTCGGCCTAGCAGTCCCCTGGCTTCTGTTCTCTCAGCAAGGCTGTTGTGCATGCTGGAGAACCCCATCTGCCTTGCTGGCATCTCCCTGACAAGTGGGGACCAGGCTGGGTACACTGGCCCACTGCTGCCTCTTTCCTGAATGCTCAGCCTTCACACAGCCTTCAGGGGTGCAGTTGGCAAGGACTGTCCTGCTCCCACTGTTACGGGCACCTCCAGAGCCTTCTGGTTACTTTATGCCATCTCCATCATGTCTTCCTCATACAATTCTTGTGCTCTTGCCTCTCTGCTCTGAGTGTGGAGCAGCCCCTCCAGACCCCACCTCGCAGCATCATACCATTGGTCCCTGCTATTGCAATTGCTCCACCCATTGGCTGAGCCTCCAGCACCATGCCTGCGTACCAGGTGGAAGGCCCCTTAGCTCCCCAGGGCCCTGACAAAGACTGTGACTAGGTGAGGCCAGCTGAGAAGTGGGCAGGTCAGGCCCGCAGCCCCCCAGGGACATGCACCTGCTCTCTCTAACCCTCTCCACTCAAGCGCCTGAGGCCTGGTTACCTTCCTGCATGAAGACAAGCACCTGTGGCTCCTTTCCTGGGGACCCAGCTAGGTTTGAACCGCCCTCTTCCCCTGAAGGTGCCCTGAAGTCCCATATAGGTGAGCTATCATGGTCATTGCTTTCTGTGTGACTGACACTCACCTGGCAAGACCTGAGATTAGCACTAAGTGAGGTGAGCCCGGCCTGCAGGAGGGGTTACAGAGGCACAGCTCACAGAGCAGCAGGGCTTCCCCACCAGGTCCCTGGGCGGCCTTGGTTCCCTGCGGCCTGGCACCAGTGCCCCCCTCGGGTGGAAGGGCTGGGCACCCACGACCGGCACTCACGTGATGGTGTCAATCATGTCCAGGCCCATCTCCACACAGCAGTGGGCATGGTCGGCCTTGGGCTGCGTCAGGCCCGACACACAGTAGTAGCAATCGCCCAGGATCTTTATGCGACGGCAGTGGTTCTCCTGGGTGACAAGGAGGATGGCACGTTAGTGATATGCCTGGCTGCACACCTGCCTCTTCACCACCCCAGACACTGGTGACACCAGAGCAGGTGGCACAACTCACACTGGGACCCCATGCCCAACCTGGGGCCCAGCGGTGAGAGCATTTGCGAGGGTGTGGGCCCAGTGGCTGTGACAGGGTGGCCTTGGGGTCCCCACACCTCCCACATACCTGTATCAGTCCTGTCCCCAGGCAGGGCCCCCCTCCCCCGCCACCCATTCCTCAGTTCACCCAGCCCACTTGACCCTCCCAGGCCAGGAACCTGCCCAGACAGGGGGCTAGTTCTCTCCCGAGGGGTCTCTCTCCCAAAAGGGCAGTACAGTGCCATCCTGGCCACTACCACACATCACCATGTGACGATCCTTCTGGAACATGCTGGACACCCCCACACAAGCCCTGGGAAGGGCAGGGCACACTCTCCTGGTGTGCCTGCAGCCTTTGGCTTGATGCAGGTCCAGGGGACAGGGGAGCTGCTCTCCCCAAGGCATTCCCTACCAAGAGACACCTCAGAAGGCATCCAACACCATGAATGGCCACTCGCACATTTAGTCAATGAAGGAATGTCAGCGCCAGCTCCCTGTCACACTGGGGATGGAGTGAGAACACCAAGCTCGCTGCTGCCCGCACATGCTAGTCCATGATCTCAGTTGTGATCACGGCTGCAACTGCGTGTGTTCCAAGGACAGCATTAAGTCAGTAGCTCTAGGACCCTTGGTAAAGCACCCCTTTGCCCTCTTAAAATAGTTGAAGGACCTCATAAAACTCTCCCCTGTATGTGGGTAAGAGCTATGGATATTACCACCTGAAAAGCTACAGCTGAGCAACTTGAAAATGTATTAACACATTTAAAGATAACCACAGCAAATCTATTAACGTTTCCACAGGTAATGTATTTACAGAAAGTTATGTTTCCCAAAATAAAAACCATTATCGAGAGGCATGTCATGGTTTCCCTTTTGCGCATCTCCAACGTCTTGTCTTCTCAGGTGACAAGGATTCGTTGCTCTACTATGTGCCCCTCCCTGCACCTGGCCCCCAGGACACCTGGAAGGAGGTCGGTCTCAGGAGCCAGGCTTGGATGGTTGTCATCCTTAGACGGTGATGGCCTCACGAACCCCCGAGATGGGCTCACAAAGCCCGGAGCCCACAGGCCCCATTCAGAGAACACATTCTACAGCTTACATTCGGTTTTGATCTTTAGCTTCTTACAAGCGAGCTGATGCTACAGGCTTTCTGCTATTAACACAAGTGCATGGGGCTGAGAACCCTCAGCTCTCACTGTCCACATGCCCCCCACTGCTGCAATGACCCCACCACTCTCCCGGGATATGGTCCAGGCTGCTTCCCCAAATCAGAAGGTATGGAGCCCCCATACAGAAATCTGTCGGGCTCCTCCCACCCTGGGGCTCCCTCCGCGTGCAGAGCCAAGTCATGCAGTTGAAGGCAGGAGGCAAGCAGATGTTTCTGCCCATCAGGAAGACCCTCAGAAAGCCTAGCATACCAGTCTGCTCTGTCCAGAGCCCTACAGGCCCCTCATGGACAGGGAGCTAGGTGCAGGGCCCAGGGAGGAGACGAGGGGCCATGCGGGGCCCTCCTGGGGACAGACCCTCTGCAGGGAGCTCCTGACCTGTGGTCCATCAGGATCTCCTCCTAGGGGCCCATCTGCTCATCTCTGTGAGGCCCCAGCAAGTCTGTCGCTACACAGGCAGGTATGTGTGAGCGAGCACACAGCTTCAGACCTCACACAGCCAGGTAGGTGACAGCCCGGGGCAAGTCGGGAGGGAAGATGCTAACACTCTTATTTTCTTAAATCTCAGATGTCCTGGCTTTTGTTAGCAAGCTTGAGACCAAAAGAGTTGATTTTCATCAACTGTGGTTTCAGATTGTCAAGACTTTCCCTGAAAGCCAGTGCCAGAGCTGCTGAGTGTCCAGGAGGCCTTACCAGCTGCTTCTGGGACAAGAGGAAGGAAGGAAAGACAGACGGAATGGAGGCAGTGGGACGCAGTCTCGGAGCACTCAAACGGCCCTCTGCCCTGGCTGAGAAGGGACAGGAGTGGCAGGTGGCAGCAGGGGAGATGCGGGAGGATCCATGCAGGAGGGCTTCACGCCTGGCATCCCACATTGGTGTGCATCCCCACAGATAAGCTCTGGACACCCCTAGCACTGCCTGAGCAGGCAGCCGTGGGAAGGGCCTCAGATGGCAGGGAGCCTCGTGGCCCCTGCCTGCCCAGCCCCTCCCCAAGCCTCACAGAAGCAGAGAACTCAGTGAGATCAGGAAGACCCACTGCTATTCCAGAACCCAAAGGGCCCACGTCCCCACCAAGGCCAGCTCCAAATTGGCAGAGTCCACAAGGCCAGAGGCCGACACATGGATCCTGGTTCTGGAGAGGCAGGTAAGCTCCCGGGACACTTGGCACCCAGGGGCAGGGCAGGGGCAGAAGGAGGGCTTGAATCAATCCACTTTATGCCCTGGTGACTACATCCAAAACCCAAACTCAGAATTTATCAGAGAAACCTTGTAAGATTGGGTGTCTTCCTATCAGTGGGAAAACAGAAGAACTTTAATGAAATTATATTTCTGCACAGCCATCTCCACATCATGACTGCAAGTGTACAACCTGCTGTTTTCACATAAAGCTGAAAATAAATGCACCAAAATACAAGTTGTGGTTTTGCTAAAAGGTAGGAGGAACAGCCACTTGTTCCACCTTATTCTCCACCAGCCCTTCTCCTATGGCACCCACACGCACCAACCCCTGCAATAAGGGCTGTGGAGGTGCCAGCCAACAGGAGAGACCAGGGCCCATTCTCCTGGAGTTCCTGCCCTTGGGTAGGGGCCACAGAGCTGGACCCGAGGGAACGGCAGACCTGCGTCCTGCAGTGGGGACTGGCTGGACAAGCTCAGACAGGCGCAGAGACGTCTCTGTGCCCCTTCAGGAAATGCTCACCAGCAACAGTCACGGGAGCACTTGCTCCTGGTAGCCTTCTAAAGCAACAATGGAGGGGACAACCTCAAACTGCGAGAAAGTGCCAACAGCTCAAGGGAGGCAGCAGGCCGGGCAGCCCTCTTCAGGTATCTCACCTCGAGGTCTGCACCACACACAACAGGTGAACAGATCATGTTCTTAAAAAGAAAATTAAATTGAAAACAGTGATGCCTATAAATCAAACCCAAGTTGCAATAAACCTCACCATAACCACCCTAGTGGCAGGAACAGAATTTCTCCAAAGAGGTGAAAACACATCATTCAACTAGTATATCCAGTGGAATGCAATCCAAGGGCAAAATAACTGAAGAAACGACTGGAAAAATCTTGAACTGCATTCAGTGGTCATCTTATGCATGATAATGTTGGCAATGTTATTCTGAACAGGCAAAAGGATGAAGCAAGTAAACTGTGTGAGTGTCTTTAGGATTTCCGGTATCGAGGAAAAGAAAAGCAAATACACAAATCAAAGGGGTAAAGTTAACTGAATTGAAAATATCAGCATGAACTCAGAATTTACCTTCTTCTTTAAGAAATACCTTCTGTCTCCATCTTCTGTAAAGGCCCAGAACTGTGACATCCCAGACTATGGGCTGGAAAAACCTCTTCCCACTGAAATAAACTAGGGCTTCAGAAAACACTGCGCCTGTCTCGAGACAGGAGCATATCGCTGTCCCTAAAGATGTGCTCAGAGGTGACAGCCACGTCAAACACAGCAGGAAACAACCTGGTCAGCTCCCAAGATGGGAAGTTTGATCATCAAAAAGAAGGAAAAATGGGAATACACCAAAACTTGTCACATTTTTTAAAATCTGTGAGGTCATAATAACATCCAAAAAAGAAACAGGCAGGAGGACTGTCCAGCATCACCCCCCTGGACAGCTCGGGGGCACTGATTCCTTACTTTGAAAAGTGGTAAACGAATGAAAAGAATCAAGCATTATCACTTTTGAGGATAACTGATTAGCTGGTGAGTAACAGTCTTTTTTAAAGATCCACCCACCAATAAATGCTGAGGAAACAGCGGGATTAGAAAAGCACCACCCAGCAAACCCAAGGGAAATGCCAGCCGGCCTCGCTCTCCAGGCGACTGCTGCTACATCCTTGGCATGTCCCTCATGGGAAGCAGGCACCAGACACATTATGTAGACACTGTGGGACACCCGGTCCCCGAGCTGGGGAAGGAGGCCAGCCTGGGTGCACTGGGAGCAGCAGGGGGACACCGGGAATTCGGGGCCTGAGAGGCTGGGCTCAGGAGCCTGCCCCCGGGGCAAGGGGATGTGATCACCTGGCACACCCACACTGATTGTGCATCATCTGGTCAAAGAGGAAAAACAAAACAAAACCACCTCTCACACCCCTGGATGATGTGTGCCCTGCTGTTTCCATTTGCTGTGTTCTGGGATGGTTTGAACCCCTCCCAGGGCTGCTGATTCCTGGAGACAGGCAATAGCCCATTCTGTTCCTCCCCAGAGCCCCTGCCTACCTCATCTGGGAGCTCTCAGCAGGCCACCACCCCACCCAAACCGAGACCCCACCCAGGCAACCCAGAAGCTCCAAAACCCGGCCACATTATCCCCCACCCAGCCCCTGCCACCTCCTCACAGTCTGGTGTGCCCCTCCTCTCGGGGTCTGAGTGATGAAGCTCCTGCAGTGGCCTCAGTCTGCGTGAATAACCCCCTGCGGGCACGACCCAGCAACCAGGTCACTATCACTAATGTTCTGACAGCTGTGCAGCGGCCGAGGCACAGACAGCAGCCCAGAGTGGGAGTCATCAGCGCTGAGCCTGTGGCCACCTTGGTGCGTGCCGTGCAGGTGCCACCATGCCCGAAGTGTGACAACAGGAGAGCTGCTCACAGAGGACATAAGGACGCGGAGCCCTGATCTAGGGCCCGGGGAGGAGAGGACAGTGACCAAACCTGACTGGCCATCACGCTGAGGTGGCTGTGGTTGAGACGGCTTATGCGTGCCTGGGGGTTACTCACTCTCAACCTTTGTGCATGTGTCAAGTTTCCAGAGAACAGACTGTAAAGCCCTCTGTCTGATGTGTTCATGCTGCATCCGTCACTAGGACACAGCAGGGGCACGTCGCTGCTTCTGGGGGATGAAGCATCCACAAACACGTGCCTGCTCCGCAGTGCTGCAAGGGGCCACCGGCACCTCCTCTGCCCACAGGTGAGGCCCTGCCCCTGCCCCCTGGAGCCATGCCTGGAGCACATGGGCCGAGAAGGAGCCCGGCTACTGCTGCTGAGTAACTGCTCCTCCTGGACAAGGAAGCAGCCTGGAGGGTCAGGGCGATGGCTTGCACTGCACACTGCATTCCCCCCTCAGGCAGAAGCCCCTCATCAGACTCAGTGCACCTCACAGGAATGCTTGTCCACACTCCCTAATGGCCCAGAGACATGTGTGTGAATGAGCCACCTTGCCCAGCCTACCACCTGCACTGTCTGGCATCTCCATCATGTGCCAGGGAAAGGCCACGCTGGAGCTGAGAACTTACAGCAATGCAACAAGCTCTTGCTAGGTGGATTTTCTGGGTCTAGGACTGTGCTCTCATCTCCCTGTCACCTGAGGACTGCAAGGCCAGGACCTGCCCAGGGGGCCTGACTGGGATAGGCTCATCTCCACAGCTGGCCCACCAGGAACTCTTCCCAGCCCACAGCCTCCTGGAACCAGCTAGAGGGATGTCTGCTTTATCCAGCCAGTCCACTGTCTGGCTAAGAAACCTGAACCCCAACAGAAGGGCCTTGTCCCCTGTGGGAGGTGGTGAGCAAGACAGAGCAGAGGACACTGTTTCTCCATCAATTCAAAGGGATGCAGCCAGTTTCCCAAATACACATGGACATCAGAGCAAATGCAAGTCTAAAATGGGTCCAATAAGTGGGGGAAAGGTCAAAACTATCACACACACCTGGCCACACATGTGGGTAAGGGGTAAATAAGCTGGCAGCTGCTATGGAGACAGGCAAACATGCCGTGCCCTGTGTTTGTCTAGCTGCCTGGCAGGGACCTGTGTGTGTTTGGACTGCAGCTGTGTGATCTTCAGCCTGCACCCATGGGGTCACCAAATGCTGCATATGGCACTCAGACACGAGACAAGCACATATGAGGAAAATGTCCACATGCTCCTCAGATCAGGACTCAAGCTGTATTTACAAACTACACAGCAGCAGTGCATAAAAGCAACAAAGACAAAGCGATCAAAGAAAGAATTTAGTTTTGAGCTGCTGAGCAGTTCCCTCAAGGGACAAGGCCTAGGCTGCGCTTGCGGAGGTGAGAACACACCATCTGAGACAGAAGCCTTGCTGGGGGACAGGCAGCAGGCTGTACAGAAGGAGCAGGGGTCCCGGGGCAGCAGGCAGCTGGGCTGGTGCACCCCTTACACATGTCACTGACCAAATGTGGCCCCAAACCCTCAGACCATGATGCTGGCCCCATGGAAGAGGGACTCGGTGATGGGCAAAGGGCACAGCCCATGCTCAGACAGAAGGCCCTGGTGACCCAGTGGGACCCTCATCCAGAAGCTTCCGCCTGATGAGGTGGGAGGAAGGAGCAGGTATAGGAAAGCTCCAAGCCGCCCCATGAGAGCCCTCAGCTGCCAGGCACCCGGGCACTGGACAGAACACACATTCTGGCCCCAATGCAAAAGGCACTGGAGCCCCACCGTGAGAGCAAGCCACATGCGGGCATGACCCACATGCCCTTTTGCCTTCCTTGTGGTTCCCCCAAACCAGGGCTGTCTGTCTGATGGGGAGGGAGACCTGGGAGGCCTCTCCCAGGAAGGTGAGGGGAACCAAGCTAGTGACCATCTGCTCAAAGGCCGCCAGGGCATTGGGGCAGGAGCCCCATCCCACATGGACAGCCAGCCTCCCATCCTCCTACTCAGGGAAAGTGAAGCAGCCTTTCCCAAATGCGGTCCTGCCACAGGCTGGCCCAGGTCATCAGTGCGGAGCTACAGAGGAAAGGGTTCCATTCAGGAGCAAGGAGCAACCCCCCAACTGGACATGTGAGAACCCCCCAATACCCTACAAGCAATCTTCTGGCAAGCAGCGTACACAGTCCCGCACGCTACCCTCCCATCCTGCCTTGGTCTCCCTTTACTGATCCAGGGGTCTGCAGTAGGCTGCCAAGTGACCCCCTAGCTATCGATCCCCTAAACTACTGCCAGGTGCATCCAACCTGGCCAGCCTCAGCCCATCATGGCCCTACCCACTCTATGGGCAGGCCCCAGGCCAGTGCAGGGGCCGGGTGCTCTGTGCCCTGCCCAGGGGCTGGCCCTAGTCTGTAGCCTGCATGTGCTCCCCACCCAGCCCTGCACACACCTGGGACATCCTCACCACTCTGGGCCTCTGCATAAGCCAGGCCTGACCAGGGGCCTCTCCTCAACCTCCCTCACTGAAGAGACATCCACCCTATCTTCCAAGCCCTTTAACTGACACCTTCTCTGAAAAAGGTCCCCACTCTGGGCAGTGTGCCACCCCCTCCCATCCCTGACAACCACCCACTCAGGGCCCCTCTACATCCACCTTGGGGTAGGCTGGACAGGTACATGACCTTGGCTGTAGGCTCACATTTCCCCCCATGTCCTCATAGGGCAGGGAAGGTGGGTGTCGGAGGCCAAGGGAACCCAGGCAATCAGTGGCCCATGTGCTACCAGCTGATGCCTTTGGAACCACCTAGGCTTGACGTCTGCAGGGCTTAGAAGTGACCCATTTGTCCAAGGAAGGCTTAAAACCCCAGGTCTCAGCCCACCTTATGCAAGGTGGCCTGGCACCATGAGATATCATCCATGCCCCAATTGGCAAGTTTCAAGTCCAGGTGACAGAGCCCAGAGTGAGGGCCAGCTCAGGACAGCTACACAGAGCCCTCCACTGAGGTCGGCCATGGAGGCAGAAGGTGACAGAGGGCAGCAGGGAGGCCTCAGGCAGATCCGTCCATGTGGCCAGGAATGTTATCAGGTGCATGGTTGTGCTGGGTAAGCCGTTTCTCATCTGGCAAAGATACCTCTGGCCCCAGGGTGCAAACCAGGAAATGGGGCCAAGTGATGGGTAACACGGCCACACAGGGCAGCCTCTAGGCACCCCATCTGGTCACATCTTTACACGGCTGCACCAGGCACGCAGCTACTCCAAAAGCTGCCCAAACAGCAAAATGGGCCTACACTTACCGTGGCCAATTCATCAAACTTGCCGAAGAGCTCGTTGAGGAGTTTCACCAGCTCCTGGGCCGTGCACTGCGAAGCCAGGCCTGTGAAGCCCACGATGTCAGCAAACAGGATGCTGCAAGAGCAAGGGCTGGGCTGCCTTTCTGCACAGGTGGACAGGGCCCCAGCCCCAGGCAAACCACCGCCCTAGGGCATTCACCTTACCAGCCACCTTAAAATAAGGGCTGCTCATCCCTAAAAGCAGGCTGCAAATGAAGGTCTTGTTGCCATTTTACAGGTGACCTGACTGAGGCTGGGAGGAGCCACAGGACTCCCACATGGTCACAGAGGAGTCACACCGGGCTCCTGCGACCTCTCCAGCACATGAGGGGCAGCTCAATGTCCCCTAGACCTGCCCTCCCTTCCCAGGATGGCCCCAAGATAGGGCTGTGGCTGATGGCACATGAGCAGAAGTGGAGTGTTTTTTGGAAGTGAGCGGCCCTCTGCACCATCTCTGCCCCTCCTGCCAGCAGGTGCCCCAGTGCCTGGGCATTGTCAGATCCTCCTAGTGGATGATCAGGCTGTGCAGAGGGGCTGCCTGGGTTTTCCACTCCTGGGTTGAAGCCTCTGTATGCGGGCATCTGTTTAAAGAATGTGGCCAGTCTAAACAACATTGTCTCTACCCACCAAGGGCAGCCATGTTCCAGGACTCAGATGCTACAGGTCTTAAACATGGAACACAGAAGGACAGAGGCAAGTTGTGGAGAAGCGCAAAGAGCCCCAGGCCGTGCATTTGGGAGAGAACAGGGACCTCTCCAGACAAGTTTAACACAATTGCATTGACTTGAGTCCTGATGCCATGTCATAAGCAGACCTGCATTTTCAATAATACCTGGGGTCAGAAGAATGGAATTGGCATTATATGCAGAAAGTGGGGATCACTCTTGCAGGCAGAAAGTGGGGACCCCCAAAGAAGCTCCTCTGACAAGGCCCTCACCCCACCACATCAACCATGACCTGCACATGAGCAGAAAACACTCGCCAAGAGTTTCAGGACTTCTTATAATCCCCTAACTGCTGGACAGCATTCCCCACAAAGCTGGGAGTAGCTTGAGGATGCAGATCCCAACATGTCCACCTCACAGCATCTAACAGAGCAGGGGAATGGGCGATATGAATGAATGGGTGAAAACCGGGTGTCTGGGGTATCAGAAGTGTCACTGACTGATAGTAGAATTTGAGAAAAAGAAATGCAAGAGTGAGTTTTTTTCTTCTGTTTTGGTATGAAATTCAAACATATTTCCACCTCTGAGAAGCCACCATTTTTTTTTCTCCCATCTCTGCTCTATAATAAATTTCTCATTCATGTACCTTTCTCTATCCATTGGCTTCTCAGTGTCTGGTCATCACTGAGCTCCATAAACACTAACTGGGTACTGTCAGCCCAGTCTAGGAATTCCCTGAGCTCTGCCAGCCTGTCCTCCTTGACGACCTGTGGGGAGGGTCCTCCCCCGAACACCTCAGGCCCTCCGTCTCAGAAGCAAGATGCTTGGAGAGTCTCTTATATGCCAGGTGCCCCTCCTCAGAGCTCACATGCAGGAGAAGAAAGCTGGCAACAGGGAGGGACAGACACATCAACAGAGTGGTTTCAGTGAGCATGGTGAAGCAATGGTATGGGAAACCCAGAATTCTGCAGAAAGGCTGGGCACCAAGGTTGCTGATGCAGCCAAGATGGAGTGGGGTCTGGAGCCCACCCAAGAATTATTCAGACAAGAAAAGAAGGAATGAGGGAGAGAAGCAGGAGAGGGAGGAGGGAAAGAGGACAGGAAGGGAGGATTCAGAAGAACACATAGCACATGTATGCCTAAGGTGGGTGAGAAGCAACATAATGTGATGACAGTCAAAAGCCAAGATATGTAGACAGGCTGGAACATGGGTGCACACAGTGGGCACCAGAGCACAAGTCTGCAGGGCCAGAAGCTCTCAGGAGCCAGCAGAGAAAGAACAGGAGGGGAGCCGGGTTTGGGGTGTGAACTCCAGTGGGACTGTCTGGCTCTACCACACATGGCAGCAGGAGCCCAGCGAACTTATCTAACACTTCCTCATGCCAGTCCTTTCTTTTATACAATGAGAACAAGACTTGAGCCCACTCTCTGGGTCAGGAGGGTAAATGGGGCCAACAACCATGAAGCACTTAAACTAGTATCTTGCACCTAGTAAGAGCTCAAATCTGCTCAAAATGATTTATAATAATCTCTAAGTGTTACAGTGCCTTCAGCACTCAGCCAGGCAGATTATGACTCTGCCTTAGCTTGTACATCCTACTTGCACAGAGCCTTAAGGTCAGCAGAGATGAGTGATTAGGGCCTTCTCAGGTCTTTCCTGAGCATGTACACAGACCTACACTTGTGCATGATCTTCTGATTCCCAGAAATATTCCCAGAGCCTTTCAAAGCACCAGATAGACATCTCATTCCTCAAGTGTTCCTTTATGTTTTTTTATTACATTGCTGTTTGCCTCAACAGTTGTCACAGCCCAAGGCACCTATGATGTTAAACAATTGCCACTGATTGTTTTCAACAAACATCCCAGAGCACAAGCTGTTTGCACCAACCACTGAGTCAGGTCACATAAAGACAAGCCTGTGAGTGGGATTTTCCAGGAAATTTCCAGTCAAATGATGGTTCTTTGATAACAGGGCTCTGAAAGAGCACCAACCCTGTTCTGTCCCCTCCAGTAGCTGCCAGGCTGCAGGTTTTCACTGTGATTGCAGCTGTGGGTTTTCAAAACTATTATGGAGCTGAGGAAATAGAAGGATATAATAAGGCAAGTCAGAAATCCACAAAGCTCACTGTGATTACCAAGATTTTAGCTGCTTTTCTTAAATAAACATTTCCAGATTCCTGTAAGACTATGGTTAATTTCCTGTGTTCTGAAAATGTTGACTGTGGTAATTTTTGCAATTGTTATCATTGCTTTTACGGAGGAGAGAATTTTCAGATGGCCTTACCCCACCATTCCTGATGGCATCAGCCTGCTGAGTTGTGAATGGTGTACTGGGTTTGAACATTAATCCTGGAGAGATGGGGAACCACTGAAGGATTCTAACAAGGATTGCAAGGAGGACAATGAGATGTTCATACCTGGGCTGTAGAAAGACAACTGTTGGAGGGCATCCCAAGGGGCCAGGGTGGAGCTGGCACTATTGGTGAGAGGAAGCCACAGCTCCCTATCTTACCTCAGAGCTGTCACCTCTGCAGCCAGATACTGACCCACCAGATTCTGAGAATAAGGTGCCCACCAGAGGACATGTAGGGAGACTTTTCAACAGCAAAAGTAGTGACTCTCACATCTGTTCTTGTTGTCCAGGTTGGAGGAGAGGGAGGGAAAGGTACTTGGGTACACATGCCCTGCACTCACCTCTTCCTGCTACCCCAGGTGGCCCATGATGTCTGATACCTTGCAAGTTATGTATGTGCAGATACTCTGTCTCCCTCCCCACAAGGCACTTACTGGATTGTTCTGCTGGTCTTCTTTGCAAAGGGTTGGGTTGCTGTGTCATGTACCTACCCACTAAGGAAAGGCAGGGGGTGAATAGAAAAAGTCTAGGCAGATGTCAGCATTGACTGATGCCACTGCCTCAGCCCCACAACCCACTGTCCAGGGAGTCCTGCACATGCTTTGCTTTGCTAACTCAATTTCCTCTCCTATAGGGGGTGACAGTGCCCATAGATCATAGGAGTGTGATGATACTAAACAGAACCAAGTGTCCAGTGGAGAGGTTCAACCTGCCTGGGCTCAAATGCTGGCCTCACACACTGGGCCTTCACCCCACTCAGCTTCAACATCCTCAGTAGGACAACACTGGTCCCTACTGAAGGCATGACAGTGGGAATAAGTGCGATCACCTGACAGTGGCTAGCCAGGTCGGCTCACATACAGACGTGTTTCCCTGCCCAGCAGGTGCTCACCTGGGCTTCCCAACCCACACCTGTTCCTACTACCCTTCACCAACTGGGGCCCTTCACCAACATCTGCCCATGATCTATCTGCCACTTCCACCATCACCTCCTACCTCCACCCATTAACCCTGACCTCCTCCATCACCTCCACATTTTCCATCACATCTCACCTTGCCCATTCCTCCCACCTCCTCCATTGCTTCCCTCCTCCTCCATTAGCTCCATCTCCTCCAACACCTCCACCTCTATCACCTTCACCTCTCCCATCACCTCCATCTCTATTACTTCTACCTTCTCCATCACCTCCCACCTCCTCCATCAGTTACATCTCCATTACCTCTACCTTCATCTCCATTATTCCCACATCCTCCATCACCTTCCAGCTCCTCCATCACTTCCATCTCTGCTATCACCTCCACCTCCATCACCTCTCACTACTATCTGGGGCCCACCACTGCCAAGCCAACACCAGCCTTACCTTACGTTGTCATGCCGCTGGATGTAAATCTTGTGAAAAATTCTCTCAGGGGGCTTCAGGAAGTCCTCCTTCATCTCCATAGCAACGTTCCGGGGCAGGAGGCTCATGAGCAGCCTCTCCTGGACAGGAGAAACAGGCCCTGTGATAGGGCAGTGCCCTCCCTGCGTGTCCTCGGTACACCCCAGTGAAGCTGGCATGAGAGGCTTCAGACTCTTCTTATACGTGTCCAACATGGGGTCCTATTCTACAGACTGTGCCCATTCCAAGGCTCTGGGGGGTTATACCTACACCTGGACTGTCATTGCACAGGTAAGTTACTCCCAGACCTCTGGGCATCTCCTCTGGAGCACCCAGACAGATACAGCACCCCTTGCCCATTCCTTGTCCTACCACTCATGCACCCCAGCTCCACTGAGCAGTGAGGCCATGGGGAGGGGATGCTCCTGTCTTCAACCAGGCCAGTCAGGCCTCAGTCTTCACAACACAGCCCCAAGAGGGGCCTCAAGGGGGGCTGTGAAAGCTCTGACCCTGGAACAGAGGGTGCCCTTGTTCCCTCAGAGATAAGCAGATCAGAGGACACGGCATTTGTTCATGGCCTTGCCTTCTGATTTCTCTCTAATCTTCAGGAGTCAGAGGTTTCTTTCTGCCAGAGGTTGGAATAAATATCTGGGCTTTTCTAGAGAAGTCTGCCACCCTTGGGAGTCCATTGTCCTTCCTGGGCCTTGGTTTCCTCCTCTGAATTCTGCTTCTACTCCTCCCAGGATCCTGCACTGACCTCATCCCACTGGCCCCTGCCCAGCTGGACATGCCCATGTCTGAGGCCCACCCTCCCTCAGTGACCCTCACACTGCCTCCCACCCTGCTCTGGAAAGAAAACAGAAGAACAGAGTTTAATTCTCGCATGTAGTCAGGTAAGACATCCTACTATGAGGGAAAACACAGGGTGGGAGAGCAAAAGCCTCTCCCTTACTCTGTTCCCTCCAGCAGCCCCGAGCCCTTTAGCCATGGCCTGTCCTGCTCAGTGGAGGAGCTTAGCAAGAGTCACATGGCACCTGGCATCTCCCAGGCCAGAGCAGGATTTCCTGGGGCACAGAGACCATCCAAAGCATGGGTCCTCTCGGAAGAGAATAAGGCCAGATCCCTGACCAGGAGCAGCCACAATCCCGTGTGACATCTTCAGGAGGACAATGGGAGCAACAGCTTGCTCAGATCCCTGACAAGAGCTGCTCAGATCCTAAAAGCTAACAGACTTTTGGAAAGGGCCACAGAAGCCTGGGGTGAGGTGTAGGTGCTTTACCCCTTTCCTCTAGATTATAAGTGGCATTTCATGTGGCTAAATTTAGGATGGAAGAATATATTAAATGCACTTGGGAAGTCTTCCCATATATTTTCCATATAAACCTATGAGAGGGAGGCCAGGACCAGCTCTGCCTGATGCCAGATGGCGCCGAGTATGTGAGTTCAGATGAGAGTTGCCACGGTCCTGGCTCTGGAGCCTGTGGTCTGGGCCATGTGCCCTGAGCTAGGCCTGGGTCTACCCTGAGGGCCGCCCATGCAAATCCCAGTTCAATGGACTCTGACACAGAGGAGGGACACCTCAAGAGTGCAATGGCCCATGATAGCTCTCAGCATTAACTCCCATGGGGAGAGGAGGACATTCTAAGACCTGTCCAGACACAGAAGTATCCAGGCTGAATGTGTGAGGGCAGACCCAGGAACAGAAATGCCCCATTGCCCAGGGTGTGGAAGCCAGAGTGCGAGGATGTTGGTCCCTTCTTTACAAGAGGGACTTGGATACCCAGGAACAGAAATGCCCCATTGCCCAGGGTGTGGAAGCCAGAGTGCGAGGATGTTGGTCCCTTCTTTACAAGAGGGACTTGGAGGACCAGGCCAAAGCCCTGGCTCAGGGAAAGGGGTCATCTGCAGGTATCCAGCTGTACCAGAGATGGAAGGAACTCAGGCCACCATACTGATGAAAACCAAGAGCATCGTCAGTAACATGAAGCTTCCAGAGCCTGAGATACAGATGGGAAAAGAGAAGCAGCTAAGCAGCATAGAAGAAAGGTCCCAAGAACACACTGGGCAGCTTCATGCTCCATCCTAGACAGTCCCAGAGGCATGGGTCATCTACATCCCTGAGCCCCATCGGCCATTAAGCCAGGTCTAGGAGCTTGGCAGGTGACATTTTCACCCTGAGTGTCTTACATGGAGGGTCTCTGGGAAAAAGGAGAGCTGCGGTGTCTTCAGGATGGCTGTCTGGCCTCACGTACTATCTCTGCTGCTTTGGGGCAGTCAGTTAAGCTCTGTCTCATTTCTGTCCCATCCAACAGAGCAATCATCACAAGAGCTCCTTAGGAGGGTGTTCTAGAAGGACAAACACTCAGGCCCTCGCTGCACCACAAAGGCCCCTCTCTTTTCACACCTTCCAGCACCTCATCCCTGTTTCTCAAGGCACAGCATTCCTGTGTCCCACATCTTTCAAATCTCTCACCTACACCAACAAAGCACTAAGTCAAATCACAGAAGAGACTGTGCTTCCCCCAAAGTCCATCTCACACCTTACCCCCACCACCAATATTCTCCAAATGCCCCAGAATAGCTCTCCCTGAGCAAGCTGTGGCCTCCACCTGGGGACCCTGGGCTGCAGCCTCTACCCAAGGACCCTGGATGACAGACAACCCCAAGAAAACAGAATAATTAGAATAACTAATCATATTTTAAAGCATCCATCATAAGAATGATTCAATGAACAACCATAAACACACTTGAGAAAAACTGGAAAAATAGAAACTCCAAAAATAAAATGTAAAATATAAGGAGAATCAGATGGAAATTAAAACTGAAAAAATATATATATATATAATAACAAGCAAAACAGGTGAGCTCAACAGCAGAATGAAAAGCATAAAGGAAAGCATAGTAAATTGAAGGCAGAAGAATAGAAATTGCCCAAACTGAAGAACAGACAAAAAAGACTAGAAAAAAGTAATAGCCACAGGGATCTGTGGGACTATCACAAATGATTTAACATTCATGTCTATGGAGTCACAGAAGAGGAAAAAGACAGTGGCTGAAAAATATTCTGAAAAAATTATGGGTGATAGCCCCCAAATTTGATGAAAGATATAAACCTACTCATTCAGGAAACTGAGAAATCCCCAAAGAGGACAAACCAAATAAATGTACACTAAGATACAACATAGTCAAACTTTAGAGAAATAAAGAAAAAAAAACAATCCTTGACAGTAGTGAGAGAGTAACAATACCTCGCCTATACAGAGGAAAGATCATCTGAATCACAGGAGATTTCACATCAGTAACCATGAGGGCCTTGAAAAAGTGGCACAATATTTTCAAATGCTAAGAGAAAAGAACTGTCAACCCAGAACCCTTCAAGAATGAAGGAAATCAAGACATTCTCAGATGAAGAAAAACTATCAGCAGACCTGCCCTAAAAGAATGGCTAAAGAAGTCTTCTAAACAGAAATAAAAGGAGAAAAGAAAGAATCTTTAAATATCAAGAAACAAGAAAATGCATGCTAAGAGTGAAAATGTGCATATATACAGATTTTCTTTCTCCATCATTTAATGGTTGAATCAAAAATTACAACACTGCCTGATGTGGCTCTAAATATATTGGGAAGAAATATTTAAGACAATTTTGTCATAAATGAAGTTGGGTGACATAGATAAAGGTTGGATTTCTACACTTCATTCCATCTGGTAAAATGTTCACAACAATACAACTGAACACTAAAAAAACAAACAATCCAGTTTATAAAGGGGCAGAGGATAAACAACTTTTTTTT